CACCTCTTGAGCTTGTCCAGGTCCCTCTGAATGGCATCCCAGTGCTCAGGGGTACAACAAAGGACTTGAACCACTGTCCTCCAAAGCACAAGACCAAAACTCTCCCCTGTGATTACTGTAATTCAGAATCTTGCAACACATCTTAAAGATAAAACAACATCTGGTAGAAGAGAAATGAGACAAAGAGAGGACAAAAAATTAAATTACTGGGTCTAATACCCTCATCAGAGCCCATGCTTATCAATACCTGGTAAGATTTAAATGAAATTAATTTCTCTTTTACAGATAAGGTATAATTGGGATTAGCAGCTTCTCAATTCTCCATAGCTGTCCAGTCAGTTTAATACAATCCAATTGAATAATATGCAACAAAAGAAAAGTCAAAAGGAAACGTATTGTAAACTCAGATAATTCTTTGCACAAATATTGACAATAATTTTTTACATAAAAAGGTAATGAAGAAGATGAACTGTAGATAAAACATTGAATTTTGGGGGTCTACAAATTAAATGCAGGAGGTATGGAAGAGGTAAATACTTTCAAGTAAAAAGAATAAGAGGTGACTTAATGAAGATCACAAACAGAACCTGAAGATCAGCTTAATGTTATGATCATTTGCAATTTGAATTACCTTATGATTCAGACATGAAGTCTCAACAATAAGAGAATGTGCTGGTTTAAGAGTTAACCAGCAGGGGTAATGAACCCAACTCAAAGGAGAGATTATAAAGTCAGAATAACAATTTATTAAAATAATACAGTAAGTACAATCATACAAACAAACAATTGGTCTTAACCCACAAAACCCAAATGTTTAACCCAGTACCCTGGGGCATGAGCAAAGTGGTGTTCCCTGGGCCCCGCTTGAGTCCAAAGTAAAGGGAGAGGGGAAAAACCTGCTGGTGGGAGAGCTGCTGCAGTCTGGTCAGAAGCGGTGATTGCAGTCCAGCTGAGGTTGAGAGCAATGAGCTGCAGTCTTCCTCTGGATCCCACGAGTGGTTGAAAAGTTCTGAAACTCCAGGTTTATATATTCTCCAGTTCAGGCAGGAATGGTCAGTTCTTCCCTCAGGGAGTTCCATAAAAGGTAAGAGCATCCTCCTATCTCACAGGCCTCTTAACACCTAGTTTATAGCCTGAGGAGTCAGGCTCTTATGGGCAGAGGTGCTAATAGTCTATTGACAACAGTTTCTGGGAAATGACATGGAAGGCTATAGAACACACAGTTTTGGGTTACACCCATACCATGATGAACTCAGCTGTCCTAACTAGGACAGAGAATCAAAACAATTCAAACAGCAATTATTATGAAGCTTGGTGGGAAGCTGGAGTAGGACAGAAGGCCTAGTAAGATGCCAGCATTCCACAAGAAAAGATACCAATCATAAATTTATGTGATAAAGCACAAAGAAGATTCCCTTAAGTTAAATAATGACATTGCTAAAGGAAGAAGAGAGTAATTTAATGGATGATTTAATGCTGGGATAATAAAAGAAAATACTAATATTGTAGACAGATGTTGTGGAAAACATGAATTGTGAAGCAGCTTTGAAGGAACCAGAATGAATCTGGTGTTGCAAGTATTCCCACTGAATTGTGAAATTTGAACCTCAGCTTTTGTAAAGCAACCTTGTTGATTGAATGCTCTTAAAATTAATAATTTAGGAAAACCCAATTTTGAAAAAAAAATGTCTATTCTAATGCAAGAATGATGATCACAGCACGTGGAATTCTGGTTTTGATTTTCAGGGTAACGTGGAAACAGCCCAAGTCCTGAGCAAATACTAAGTTGTTTTTTTTTTTGCGCATGAGTGTTTCTTCCTCCCTGTTTTTTCCTGACCATTTCAATCTTTCTGTGCTCACAGGATTTCCAAAATGCTCCAGTAATCTGAGATGTCTCTCTGTGACTATGCTAAGAGAAGAGAATCATATGTAAACTTTCCTATTTTTGGCTGAATTGTGTACAAGTAAGAGTTATTGAATCTCAGGCAAATTGCTAATCCTCTATGACCCTCCATTTATCTACACATAAAATAAGCCTAATAAAAAGTCCACAAGTAGCAAGCATGGAATTTAAGCTAAGAAATAACTTATAGCTGTAGAAGAGTAAAATTGGTAAAATTAATTGAACTGCAGTGAAACTATTCCTGCTGGCAGCAGTGAAATTATTGGGTCACATAAGTTTTATACTTTTACCAGTCATTCAAATGCTCCAGCTGAAGTAAATATGATGTCCCTATCTTTCTTCCCAGTGAAGGGCAGTAGCACAGACAGTAACTATATTTTTGCTGCTCTTGGTAGTCATACAGCACTTCAGAAAAGGGAGAGTAAAATTTACAAATTCTGGTGAAAATGTTCTCTTAGAAGGCTGTTGGATTACCCCCGAAACAGAAGTTGCAATCCTAATTTCAGCCTGCTGAAAAGGTACAGGTGTGAATATTTTATTTAAACAACCAGTTCTGACTGTATTTCTCCATTCCTGTAATCAGAAATCTCCTTTGAATTTTAAGGTTATTACCGGCAAAGAGGAAATCCATAACTCTGTTTAAATGTTTAAAAATGTTTTAAATGTTTAAAAGCATTGCTAAACAGTAAAGCTAATAACAAGGTGAGCAAGGAAACAACCCACAACCTTCTTATCAGTCAGTTTAATTCTGCTTACTTTTCATAAAGTAACAATTTCTAGGAACTTAGTTTTGCTAATTGAGAGCCCCCCCTGAAAGCAACTACTAAACCCATTTATAAGAGAAAAATTTTGAAATATTTAAGTTATAAAGCAATTAAGTATCTTATTTAATAATACTGTAATGAGACAACACACATGAAAAGAAGGTAACAAAGAGAACTAACTCATGGAATTGCATCCGTGAGGAAATAACTGTGTCCAACTTTTAGGGTTCTTGCATATTTCTGATATATGAGTTCACATTCTGCAAATTCTAAACTACTGTTATACACTTCAATAGATGTATTAATCTTTTCCTTTCATCTTTCCTCTTCTGTTGCCAAAATAAGGGTGTCAAGTTATGATCCAGATGTTCTACTGTTGACCTATGCAGACAAATAACAGCTCTTTTCTTAAGATATTGAGGTTGCCCCAAGGACTCATATTAAAATGAAAATACCAGAATCACAGCATTGTAAAATGGCTCAGGTTGGAAGGAACCCTCAAAGATCCTCTAGTTCAACCCCCACTTGCCGTGGGCAGGGACACCTTCCACCAGATCAGGTTGCCCAAATCTCCATCAAACTTGACTTCAAAAACTTCCAGCACCTCCAAACACTCTCAGCACATTCTACATTCCATTATGAATTTTCCATTGTTTCCATGTAAACCTCAAAATCAATTTGTCAAATTACAGTGATGTCAGGGAAAGAAAAGAATTCTTGGAGCAGAATGAAGGAAATTTATAGCATTACAAGAATTCTCAGGCTAGAAAGAGTATGAAGGAAATTCCTACAAAGAGAAATTGGAAAGAGGCAGAAGGCTGGAAGATATTAGATATTTAGGGCTTTTCTAATTATATCCAGTTATTTTTAATTATATGCAATTAAGCCTAATAAAAATTTATTATAATTGTGATAACTGTTTCTATCAAATATAAAATTTTTTAAAAGGTGTTTTAAAAAAAATCCTGTCTCCCGGGGAAAAGGACTGTGTTTCACACTGAAATGTGCTAGTGAAATATGTTGACAAAGAAGTGAGGGGGATGGACTTTGGAGCCTGTGTTTAACATTGTTCTACTTTGTACGACTCAATGTTTTTAGGTAACTCTAAATCTTACTAAGTTTTAAGTAATTCTAACAACTTCTGCATAATTCTAAAGGCCTAACTTTAGTTCTTTAGCCCAGTGCTCAAAGCAATCACATTTGACACAGGAAATTCTCTATTCACATCCCTCATTGTAATTGAGCGTGATCATGGCCTTCTTCACCTGTTTCTGACCATGCTCAGTTACACATTTGTGACGAGGTCAACTCATACGTACCTGAAGAAATGACACCCTTCTTGTCCTGTGCAAAAGGCCCTGTGACCTTGGCCCTTTCGACAAGAATTGGGCTTGAAAAAACAAATCACTAATGCTTTAAAGATTAGTAACAGCTTTGCTGAGACTACTTTTGGTAATCCCTTATATTTAGACAGGTTATATTTTGTCCTTCCTGTTGCTTCCTACTGTGTCTGTCCATGCACCAGGACAAATCTCTGAAAGCTGTGATATCCACCCCCTTGCAAAATGGTCTAATTTTTCATTTTAATGATTTTCTTTAAATTTGGTTAGATGAGATATATGAAGAATTTTATACAGCTGAGCCCAGGAAACAGAACTTTTTATCATTAAGGTCTTCAGTGGCCTCCTGTATACATACAAAAGATAAGACTTTAGATCTGTTAGTCAAAAGAAGGACAATGCCCTTGAATTTTCCAAGGAGATAGCAGATAATCTTTCATCCAGGAACTGGTTTTCCTTCAGTAAGTCTGAGTGAAGGTATTAAGAAGTTTCTTTGTCTTTTGGGGTCAAAAAAGTATCAGTAAGACCTTTGTAGAAGGTAATGCCATGGATATTTGACCGAAAGTAATTAATTTACACACACTTGGTCTACTATTGTCAGAATATCAGCTCAAATTTCTCTGACCTCTTACTTCTGAAAATCAGCTGATGCAGGTAATGCAAATCTGAGAGTGAGTCTGCATAAGTCTGATATTACACACAGATAATATTTTTCCTTGTTTAGGTAAAAGAAAATAAATGCAGAAAAGCAAAATCATACAGAAAGGAAGGCAGATTTAAAAGAATAAAAGAATACACTTATTAAAAGCAATAAGGTTTTGCCACTGTATCTTTAAAAGGATTAAATTGGCATAAATTCACTGATATGCAGAAGAAAAAGCAGAGCACAGAAGTGACAGGATGATTATGTTACAACATGGGTCATTATGGAGTTGCAGCAGAGCTGAGGGCCTGGTAGCTGGTTAAATCAGCTTGGTACTTATTTTTACGTGATTCCCTACAGGCTTGTTTGGATGGCAGCAGCATGAACTCCTCTTGAATGTTCCAACCTAATAAATCATTGGAGTGCCTCTGACTTTGCCTTGACACGTTCTTCCTTTGCTTCAAACATTTCAGGGTTTTTTTTTGAATTCTGTGGGAAGCATGTTACACTGACAAATTAGATACATAAAGCGTACATTTGCGTCATCATATTGATTCACCTTGGTTTTATTTGATTTAAGAGATGACCAGATTTCCTATTTTCACACTGGGCTCTGATTTTTGTTATGTTACCATTCTGAAGTACACCCTTTTGATGGAAATGTGTGATCGCTGAATTGTTCCTTTGAAATTCTGGAGTGACTCTGAAGAAACTCTTGTCTGAAGCTGTGCTTACCAACCCTCAACTAATAATTGCCAGTTTGTTTATGTCAATTATTTTTTATATTCCCTGGATCGCACAAAATGTACTTTTGAATTTGTTGCAAGTGCATCATCTGATCTACTTTCAAATTCTAGTCAAGTATAGAATAAGAGGAGAGAGAGTAACAGTTTCTTCCCTGCTGACGTGCCTTTGCTTCGTTTTACTTCATGGAAAGTTGTCCTTAGCCCCTTCTGAAGAAATCTGGTGATATTTGAAAGTGGATGTTAAACTGTGTAACAGCACAGTTTTCTTTTTTTTTTTTTTCAGGAATCAACTTTTTTAGTAGATTTTTTTTTTTTTTTTTTTTCAGGAATCAACTTTTTTAGTAGATTGAGTCTGCTCTCATTTCCAGTATGAGGAGGAAAGAAAATCTGTAGAATGATTAAACGTGATTTGCACATCTTTTAACAAATAAAGCACACGGTGGTTTCAGCTGCAACACGCCAACATGAATTAAGTATTCTGGAGATATATATTTGACAAGAAGATGTTATTTGTGTTTGGAGCATGTCCTTTGAATGCAAAATGAATCTCTCTATGCAAGAAAGATCCAGCTCTTCTAAAAGACACATTTAAGCTTGTTAGTTTTTTTCTGATATATTTATTGATAGGATGTTCTTTATTCTCTCTTATATCTAGTAATAAGTACTTTCAGCATTTAGGCCTTCGTTTGTACTATACTGATTGCCCTCATACTGAATTCTGATTCCTGCATAGAGTGATTTTTTTTCACTGACTTACTTCCTGGTGTTATCAGAAAAGGGATAATAATGCTGGGTGAAAAAAAATTTGGAGCCTTAGTGTCATTTATTGGTATTGTCGTGGTAGCTAAAGAAGAGAACTTGGTCCTTAACATACCAAAAAGACAGTGACACAAGAATCTTCCCATTTAAATTACCACATTCAACAGGTAAACAGACAGATCTCTAGAGACTCAGATTCGAGAAGGCAGCCCGGATTTCTTGTGGCAATCAGATTTTTAACCATTAAATGTTATTGGTGTGACACAAGCAGTCGTGAGAGAACAACTTTCTGCTGGATTGAAAACATTATGTAGATCCCCTGGGTATTTGAGCCTGACCTAGCGAGGGACCTCTTTGGAGTGTGATTTGCTGTGCTTTTTACAGCAGCTGCCTTTCATCTTTTGAAGCGGGGAAGGTTGAAAGACAGGAGGCTGGGTTTTCCTGAGTGTGGGTCTAAATAAACCTGGCTAGCTCTGAGGATAAACAACAGAAGGACAAAAAATGGCAAAATAATAGTGAAAATATCAATGTCCTGCCATTGCCTGTGATTGAATGCGAAGTCCAAACAGCAAGACTGGTATTTATATACTTAACTGTATCAACAAGAGAGGTGCAAGTTACACATGAGGGGTCTAAATGGTAATTATTTCTTGGATATGTCCTTCTATAAAGTTATAAGGTTACTGTAATACAACTAGTGAGTTGTAGCGACTACAAAGCTACAAGTGTAGGCCTTACATGTACCAAAAAAATCCATTGTATAGTCCATTGGATATACTGAACAGGTGATGTATTGAGCACTGTAATTGTAATATATCTTATCATCAACATAAGAGGCAGGTTGTCTTTTCACTAAGTACTAGGTACTAGGACCAAAGTCTCTGTATTTTGAACAGATGACACAAGGAATAATCCCTCTAGAGAGGTTAATCTTATCCAAAGTAAGACTGGTTTATGCTACACCTTGCTTTAGGTAAAAACAACTGTAAAATTCAAATTTGAGATCTGAGAACTCGTAAGGGAAAAAAATGTTAGCGTTTCTTACCATGATCTAAATTCATGTGTCTCTCACGAAAAATAGCATTTCATTTAATGGGAATATATTGATTCAAAACTTCAAGGTTTTTTTTGCTATTTGAATAATTTAGTTAACTAAAAAACTTCCAAACAGTAGTGCCTTTTCCCCTCAGGGAATTATATTGATATCAGTAGGAAAAAATCATTAATACACCATTTTACAATCTTGACCATGACTGGATATTTTAATTTTGCCAGTACCAAACACTAAATGTCTGTAACCCTTTGTTTACAGCAGTTTTGAATGAATACAGACACAGGACTTAGGAAACAAGCATCATGAGAAAGTAACTTTAAAGCCTCCAAAGCAAACAGTAGCACAGTGTCAGCTTCATGTGCTCCAAATGAAGCAATAAAAGGAGAAAAGAAGACAGAATTTCCACTTACTAGAGGTTCTGATATGTGTCTGAACTTGGTCCCCATAATGATCTCTTAATCGTACGTAGGTGGAAGACTGGAGTGGAAACGTTTCTGGTTTTGAGAATTTGTTGAAGTACATCTCCTATAACACTATTTTACATAGCTCCATATATGAGGGCAGAAGTAAAACTGTGCAAAAAAATTGCTGACTCCAAAACAGCAGAGTAACATTTTGTTGAGGACCACAGGAGAATATCTATATTTTCATGGACACCACTGCACTAATAAAAAGATTCAGAATTTTCCAGTTGGAAGCAACCACTTTGTACTAACTAGAACAGCAAAAGATTTCCATTTAATTCTAACTACAGCTATGCCTGTCTGTTGGGTTGAAGGAGGTCCTGAAACTTTATTCCTCAGCTTCTCACAATGAGAACTTACCATTGCCTTAGGACAAACACATAGTTGCATTAAACTTGTGATTGTTCTGACCTCCACTCACTTACAGTCCTTTTCTGTCTGAGGAAAAAAGCTGCATTTTCCCTAGCAGCAAATGTATCTTGAAATGAGTGAAGTTTTCAAGAACAAACCTGTCATCAAAAGCTTGACTTGTCAATAAATTAAAAAACCAAAAAAAACCCCCAAAAAACGAAAAAAAACCCCACAAAATCTCACATAAAACCAAAATCCTGACAAAACCAAAACACAACAAACACATAATCCTGAGAAAATGAGCATTTCAAAATACAATAAAAACAGTATTTTGCCGTATTTCAATGCCATATTTCAATATGGCATTTCAAAAGACAATAAAATCTTCATAAGGTATTTAGGTTTAAGCAAGAATTTTTTGTGATAAATAGCTGAAAAAAAAATTATGTATGAAATGTATCATCAATGGTTTCTTTAAAAACCTGTTACATTCAGTACAGAGTTCGCTATAGAATTCAGTACCTCTTTTATTTTAAGATTAAGAATCATGAAAAAAGATGTTCTCCTCTATTCCATTCCTTCTTGGGAAAAATAACTTCATGAAGTTTTGATTCTTCGAGGGCACTCTGGAGCCCAAGGAGTGAAACAAAATGTTTTGCTATGCAGACATGAGAATATATGCTTTAATGGGGAGTTTTCTGCAGTATTTGTTCACTTATTGTAAAAATAAGCTGAGAATCTTTATTTATAGAACATGTCTTTCAGTGATGGATCATGTGGAAAGGTGAGAATTCACTGTTCAAATGTGAAAACTGAAGGTTTTCTGATAATTACTCAGAAACAAACTTGATCCAAAGGTTTGGTGCTGTACTGTGAAAATGAAAAATAAGAGTGGTTTCTATGGTGATATAAAAACAGAAAACAAGGAACTGAAATTAAGGACTTCGTTTTTTTAATCTGCCCCAATCTTTTTACAAGGGTGAGTGTTAAAAAAAAACCTTCAAAAAACAGGTGGTAATTTATCAGTTTATGTTACTCAAAGCATACTTTCTGTAGCTGGACAGTCTTGCAAATAGCTGTGAAGACTGGAATTTTTACAGAGTTTAATGCCAATTAATTTTCATCCAATAATTTGTCATTTCAGATTTTGCCCTGCTACTGTTTTTTTTTAATTTCTTTTATTTGAAATGTTATCATTGGTGTTATTAAGAGGAAAAATGAGTAAATAATTGAACATAATAATTTGGGATAATGTTCAAGCGCATATTATTCAACAGCTGTATTTAACATATAAATGAAAATAAAATTGCAAAACATCAAATAGGATTTAAATTATCATAAATATAAATATAATTCTATGGCTTGCTATCACTAGTACTTCAAAAAGTCTTATTAATCTGAAAACTTTATTCTGTTTCAGAGGTATTTTTCTTGCCTTAAGTAGCAAATATACTCCCAGATGTAGAAATATAGAAGTGCTTTTACTGTGACCACTGTCCTTACAGCTCTTTGAGAGTGCTTTGATATCTACGGAGTGAAAGGTGACAGTGAAGTATAAAGTATCTATATTATTTATTTTTATATTGCAAAGTTAGACCAGAAGTGGGAGAACTTAGCCTTACAGAGTGCTTTTAAAATTTCTAACTTGTGCAAGTCTGAACAGGAAGTGCTTTTGAGTGATACAATGTCCACTATTCATTACTGTTGTGCAAAATGCCAAATTGTGGTTTTATTAGTTAATTTTTAGAATATTCTTGTAGATGTAAGCAAACCAAATCATGGAGTCTTAATACACACAACTAAAATTAACATTAGGGGTTTTTTTTTAATTAAGTATAGTAAGACATATTACTATGGCCTCTGATTTTTTGATGCAGAAAAGAAAAAGACTACACAAATAATGATTGTGAATTAGAATTATGTAGTAATAGAGTAGAGTTACCTATTCATGCTGCCTTTTGATTCAAATGGAAGTATTTTTTTTAAAGCAAAAGGGAAAAGTGTATTTTAGTGGTAGTGTAGAAAATTAAATGATTTTTAACTTTCAGTTCTTGTTCTTCACTGCTTTAATAAACATAGGAAGAGGAGAGGAGAGGTTCGGAGAGGTTCGGAGAGGTTCGGAGAGGAGAGGAGAGGTTCGGAGAGGAGAGGAGAGTTGTAGAAGTCTATCAAAGACCTCTGTTTAAAAAAGAGGTTAAACATTTCATGTTTTGACTCATTCTAGTTCAGTGTCTTTTACAGTATCATTTATCAGCTCTCAGCTGGGCTGTAAGGACCCTTCTGCTTTTAATTCTTAATTTTATTTAAAATGTTGAAAAACTGTCGATTGTAATTTTTTTCAATTTCCTCCTAAAACCACTTTGAGTCTTTGTGGACTTGGCTGGAACTGTTCATGTCAGCATCTGTAATAGTCAATTTGAAGCCAAAATTTGCTCCAGAAAACTCATTGTACCTGACCCATCAACTACCATTCAACCTATAGGTCTACAGAACAGATAGAACTCCCTTACCTTTCTTGATTTCAGCTTCTCCTGGTTTTCTTCCAAGACTATCCCATTTCTAACCCCATAGGTATCTATTAGTCTTCTTATCTACCACTTGGTTTTGTGTAAGTATTTTACTGGCCTCTGTCCTTCCAGTCTTCTTTTGCCTGCTGCTATTTATTTTAGCTACATAATCTCATGAAACTATTGTTGACTACTGTTCAGGCTGCCACATTATCATGATTTAAACCAAGCTGGCAATGAAGTACTACACAGCTGCTCACTCACTTCCCCCACCCTGCCCCCACAGTGGGATTGAAATAAGAAGAGTTTAATAATTGAAATAAATTAAAATATACAACTGAGCAACATCAGTGTGTTACATTCAATATTGCCATACTAAATTCAAAACACAGCACTGTACCAGCCATTGAGAAAATCCCAGCTGAAGCCCATTTGATACCAATTTACTGTAAAAATATCCTGTTCAAGGGAAAATATGTTTTACCTTTTTTAGGGGGCTGCTTTGCTGTTAAACTAATAATTGCATGGCTAAAAGACTCTACTCAAAATACTGCATCTTCTGCGTTGAGAAGTACTTAGGAGCAGGGACAGTTTTATTCAGATCCCCCAACTGTCTCTGCAAAAATATTCCTTTTCTAGATTTTGCCAGAAGCAGAAAAAGGCTGAAATAATGAGATATAGTATCGTTGGAAATGCCACACAGAAGTAAGAAGAAACAACAACAAAACTCTCTAAAACCCACTAAAAAGATGCCTTTGAAACTGTTTTATCTAAAAAGCAGAATCAAATGCTTTTGATAAGTGAAAGACTTCCAGGAAAGCACCAAGACAGATCCCAAAGAAATGCCATTTGCAGCAGATTTTCTGGAAGAACTGTGTACCCAAGAGGACAAGGTAATAATGACATGCTGTGCAGAGGCACTAAACTTTATTCAGGTGCATAATAGTATTATGCTGCATGAAGGTTTTACCATAGTATTTTCACCATTTCTGGCAGGACCATAGCAGCATTTTTTTTTTTTTATAAACACACACAGTGGAAAATACAACATGTATCTCATGACATTCACAGTATTGACTCTAAATATTGCTAAATGAAAATATTCTGCCTTTCAAAACCTATTTATATTAGTTAAAAGCGATCACTTCAATTTTGAAAGTGATTGTGCCATCAGTGGAAGACTTCTTTCATGGAAGAAAGAGTAGAAATAAAAGATTTTGCCAGGAAACTGGTAAACATATAAGCAAAAGGACAGTTTTATAAATCCCTAATTTTTGATTATATTCAAATATACACATTTATCAACTGATGTAGTTGCCAAGCCACTCTCCTTGATATTTGGAAAGTCATGGCAGTCCCAGTTAAATCCCAGGTGACTGGAAAAAGGAAAACCTTGTACCCATCTCTAAAAAGGAGGACCATGGGAACTACCAGCCTGTCAGCCTCACCTCTGTGTCTGGGAAGATCACAGAACAAAACCTTCTAGAAGCTCCTAGAAGGACAGGGAGGTGATTCAGGAGAGCCAGCAGAGCACCATTTCCCAGAACCAACCATTTTGCTCTGCAAATCTCTTCCTGCTAGACCTCTCTAATGTTGATTTGGACATACAATGAAGAGATGTTTTACAGCTGAGATCTCAGCAGAGGCTCCTACTCAAGAAATGGTGGAAGGGCCTCATAAATGGAGTTAAGCTGTATGAAGTTTAAAAGGAGTAATTTAAAATTAGAAATTATTTCTGCTACATCTCCTTGATAACTAAATTAATATTTCTTTTCCTAAGTTAGGAACTTGACTGTGATAGCAGTGGTTGCAATAGCATCAACTGTGTTTGGAAAAATTCTTTCTAGCTTCTCATTTTCACGGATTAAATCTCTAAATTAAGTGTATCACAAATGCATTGTAAACATTCTGTCCTGAATTAAAGACAGATAATGTGTATCATTGCAACAAGTGGATCGTCAGTCCTCAGAGTAATCCTGGAAGAAGTTCAATTGTTTCACAATTGATAAAATAAGAAATGAATACATGCTAGTAAAAGAGTGCACAGAAGTGTGTCAACTGTATTTCAATTCTATGACTCTGAATGCTTACACTGCACACACCAAACCTGACCTAGACACCTGAGCTTTCCATTTAATCAATGTGGAAAAGTAGTCATTACTGGAGTGCAGTTCATCTCATCCTAAAGCAGATGCCTGAAATACTTGAGCTCACTTTTAGATGTACTGATTAAGGTAAGATGGATCACTCCCATTAAGTGCCTATTGATTGAAAAGGGAAGATTAGACAACCAGGCGAGGTTAGAAAGTAAGACTTTCAAAGTTAGTTGAATCTTATTTGTATTTTACAAATGCCTTGCAGTACATTCAATGGATCTTCATAGTTAGCATTGTCTCACAGTCACTCATCTAAGGATTGCTGTAGCTAACCAAAATCTGTACTGCATACAGCTCCAAAAAGCATTCTAACAATTCACTACCTCAGGTGGTACCAACAGAATTTTTTAAATATTTTTTTTCGTGTTTGCTCATTATTAATGAAAGAAGGGGTTTCATTTTTGGATGTATTTCGTCCTACTCACTGATTTGTTGATGTTTATGAGTATATTCTTAGTCACATACTATGACACCTATATCTGCCACAGAGAAAGCAGACACTGATAAACTACATGTGAAAAACTTCTATTACACAGAGGACAAAAACAAATGAACAAACCAAAATATTATTTCTCACTCTGGAAAGAATCTTTGATTAGCTGGAAATGTTGAAGGATATTCATATGAATCATGATCAGTCAAGCGCTACTTAAAGATGTTAAAGACCAGTATACAAGCAATCACTAATTTGACTTCCAAGAATTATATTGCAATTTCATTCTACTAGATAATTTATGTCTTATTTGACTTATGAAATTACTCCCTCTCTAGAGTATCTTTGACCTCCAACATCATGTTTGCAAAAAAATTAAAGTTCTTGCATTTCAAAGCTTATTTTTAACTTATTTTCGTAACTGATATAAGGTTATTTCCACTGACCTAAGTATATCTCCCACCTGAGTATTCATAAGCACTGTAGTAAATGTCATGTCATTAAAATAACTAATTGAACTTGCAGTCTCTCACATAGTTTTTATTTCCAGAGAAAAAAAAAGAATGGATTGTATTTTCTGTTTTCCCTGTCTGTATTTAGAAATTAGTGAGCTACTTAGCATTTTAATTAGCATGCAAAAATTTTATGAGTCAGAACATTTTTCTCAGCAATTGTAATGCCTTCAATCAAAATATCTATCAATTCACTGAATTATTAAACCTGGAAGATAAGAGACACACCAAAAGAAAAACTAACTCCACCCTAGGGACTTTAAAATTTGCATCAGTAATGGAGTTACACTTGTGCTTCTGTACAGATGCCTGTGCAACAATTGAGTTCAATGTGTAATTAAAATAAGGGGAATATACAATGTAGGTACACTTGCTCTTCAAGGTTCACTTAATAAAGCTCTATAAAAATGCAATCCTATTTTAATTCCCTCATTTGTGTATCAAACTTCTTATTACTTGTGAACACATTTACTATTATACTTGAATTCAATTACCATCAGTTCAGGACACTCTTTTTTTTTTTTTTCCCCTTAGAGTGAACTGTTATAATGGTTTCTACCTCTTGTTTAAGGAGAAGTTTGATATATGGAGAAATGAATATGTTTGGAATTAGACCTGAACCCTTTGTACCTCTTTAGAATTAAATTTATGATTAATAAATACTGATTACAGAAGTAAATAAACAAACCTACGTCCTGAGACCCTCACTGCCACTGTCCAAGTTTGCTTGGCCCCGGTAGATGAACCTCAGGATTAAAGGGTGGGCTCAGTTCAGCGCACACTGTGTCTCACCTAAAAAATCCACTGCGCAGGCTCGAAGGGTTAATGACCTTTCCCAAATCTTCACTCATGAAGACTGGCCATGATCTTACAGAAGTAAATCATTGTAGCTTCATAGATTTTTGGATGAAAACAGTATATGAATACAATCTACATGACAGATTTGAAACATATTAACATTACTTTTGATACTGAATTTTAGAAATAAGGTGAGGGAAAGGAAGGAGAAACAGATATTTTAGCTCTAAATTTGGGCCAAACCTCAAGGGTCAATAGTAAATGAAGACAGAGAGTCAGTATGTCCTGGGATCTTCACGTCTCATTCTTACTTCACCAGACACTAATAACTGTCAGTTTAAATTTCATTATTTCAGGTCGTGAGAATGACTCTACATTAAGAAGCCCTCACATCTTTCAGTCTGTGAGGCATGTTGAAGCTTTATTTCTCTTGGTTCACAGACTACGAAATGTAATAAAGCCATCTTGTTATAAAGGCACAATTTAATCATTAACTGGACTATGCCAGAGCCAATATGTCTTTGTAATTCTGTGTTTCTTTTATTAACAAGAGGCTATTTCACATAGAAGGAATAGGATTTAACCTAATCCTGTGATTCCATGATTCTATGTTTTCATCAAGCATGTGAATAAAAAAATATACTCAATGGTTATGTGTTTTTTGCAATGCTGTTGCTTACCTTAGGTTTTCTCCACATCTCCAATGTAGTCCAGAAGCTTTTATTAACTCTTAGAGTTCAAGGCAATTTTTTTGTTTCTTTCATTTTTATGTTATTATCAGTCTATGCAGAAAAAGCATTGCAAATTTTCTAAAATATCAGCTATGGATATTTAATATCTGTACAGAATTTTATGAATTTATCTTTCACTGCACAAAAAAAAATAGCCAACCTTAAGTATAACACTGGTTAAATTTCTGAAACTGTCATAAAAGTATCTCTTTTTAAAGAGTCTAAAACAAGACACCTTCCTGACATCCGTAGGGAATAGTATATTAATTTAGCTATCTGAGAGACAACATCTCATTCAGATATTTGAGAAGAGTTTCAAGATTACAATGTGAAGAAAGAAGACTTTTAAAGTTGTCTGATCTTTATGGAACTTTTGTATTTCAGATGTCTATATCAGCTCTCCAACATCTTCATTATTTATAGCACCCTTCACAAAAAACTCTCCAAGTGCTGTGTATCAAGGAAAAAAAAAAGCCACAACCCCCCCCCCCGCCAACAACATGAACAGAAAAACAAATCAATGAAAAGAGTAAGAAAAAAAATGGATTTGTTTTTCAAAAAAAGGAAATATTATTTTAAGATTTTTAATGCTGTTTTAGACTAGGCACTATCCAGGACATAGATCACAGGCAGTGAGGACTCAAAGTGTTTCAGTAGGTGTACGAGATCTTAAATCACATCTAGAACAGCTGGAAAAAAAATAAATGAGCAAATCTAAAAATATATTCACAAATTTATATGAGGCACTGGAGTACTAAAAAGAATTATTTTTTTAATTCATATAAGAGTCTATATATTGTCAAATCTGACTATTATTCATAATTTACAGTAATTAAGAAATCTTAAATTTATTTTTGGGTAAAAGTTTGTTTCTTCTCTCCTCAGCATTTTGGAAATCTGCAGCAGATACCAACACATTCATGGGAACCATTTAAAAAAGGGGTTCCCTGTGCATGAGTACAAGACAGTGGATGCAAAAAATAAAGAACAGCAGGGAGAATATTGGAAGCTAAGTTGTTTACTATGCTCTAATATGATTTTGTTATGTGGGGTAAAAGGTTTTACTACTTCTACTGGAAATACTTTGGGTATCTTCTCCTTTCCTGTCCTCGCCTCCCAAAAAGCCCCTCTATGGAGTTTTGTAAAATTCCTCTCTCTAAAGGATACAAAACTATCTTTGAAAAAGGAAGGATTTACATTTTCTGAACTCTGAACTATTGGTCTAAATGCCAGTTACAAGACCAGAAAATGGAAATATTAACTATAAATTTTCACAGAAAGGGCTAATTTATTCAGTAAAAGTGAGAAGACCCTGCAAGAAGTCATACATTAAATTTGTGTAGGATCAAATTACAGTACTTCAACATATTTGACAGAAAACATCTGGCAAGTGAAATTACAGCAGGAAAATAAACTTCCAAGTAAATCTGAGGTTTGATAATGCCCCATCTGATAGTTCTGAAAGGAAACCAGCTAGCTAGTTAAATGTTCACTTTGATATGATTTTGCACTCAGATCCGTCTACACATAAATTTCTGACGTCCAAAACTAAGGAAAATAATTATGTGGCCAGCACCTTCATTACAGGTAGCCTTAGCTGGTGAAGGTCACTTTGAGACTGACTTTACAACTGGGTAGTTTTTCTTAAATGCAATCTCTATAACAGAAAAATAAATCACAGAAATTTTAGGGTTGGATGGGACCTCTGAAGATCATCTAGTCCAATACCCTATAGCAAGGCAGAGTTACTTAAAGCAGGTTACACAGGAACTTGT